TAGTTCGTGTAGTGGTGTAGTTATTTTACTTCCTTCCTTTCCTACGTACTAACAACACTCTTATTACTTATACTATATATATATATATATATATATATATATATATATATATATATTATGGAGACAATGTAACCAACCAATTGACCAATGTTACCTCACAGGGAACACTTACTCAAAATCTACATCAAGTAGGGAAGTACAGAAAGTGTTAAGCCCATCACACTTTCTCAGCAACTTCTATTAAGACTGGGTTTTCCACAAGACTGCTTCAGCTTTGTATATACAAATATTATATTTTCCAGACCGTTTTGCACTTGCAAAAACAAAGACAGCTTTCTTTAGACACAATAACCCACTGTACTATCTCTAAGTGTGGGACCTAATTCCACATGATTGTGCTTGATGACAATGGCCCATGTACCTCTCTGGTGTTTTCCCACATAAATTCCTTCCTCTCATTTCTTCTAGTGGAGTATTGTTGAACCCTTGCTTGTCCAGTCACAAGCTGTTGGGGAAGTCGATATGGAGAATTTTTCATCAGGTGGGCAATCCCACTGGAATGAAATCAAGTGGATGCACTCCTCATTCAGGAAGTAGGGCTGGGATATTGCTTGGTAGTGTAATACAGAACATCTCAGTGTTTTATACCAAACCATTTCTGGCAGTTAAGCCCAGCTGGATGGGTCTTGGGTTCACCTTGAGACACAGGTCCGAGATGCTAATCCTTACACTTAATTTTTGTGGTGAATATTTCAAGTATTTCTCCAATATGGAATGGTTTGACTTTATAGCCATAGCCATTGACTGTGAGATAATGGACAGTTCAGCAATCTGCAATTCTGCCCACTTTAGTGACATGTTAACACCCAGAAAATGATTCTTTTGCTTTACCACCTTTCTTAAGCAAAGAGTATTCCCTGCTTGAGATGGATGCAGCCTCCCACCGAGTGCTACCCCACTAGGATATCCTGTTTTCAGAAAGGAGCACATCTTTGTACCTTCTCTGCACCAACCAATCTTTCATCTTCAATGTGAGATTATAGTTCTTTGTGGTGTAGAAAGGCGAGTAGCATTTCAAAAATTAACATTTCAAAGGTGTTTCAAATAGATACTTATCAATCTGCATCATCTCCCACCCTTCCTCCCCATTTCCAGTGCATTTAGTTTGCTTCATCAAGCATGAGCCTGTGTTCAAGTGCTAATGTTCATGGAGATTACTGTGCATGAAGAATGTGTTGTCCTCCTGTTGCTGGAGGGTTATAGTCTAATGATGATTATGTTGTAGGCTGGCACAATACATGTTAACATGTATCAAGGTGGAAGCTTTATTCAAGGCTTGAGGCATATACAGGAAATTACCTGGCAGTGTGTGCATGTGATAATAGCTCTTTGTAGTGCAGAGAGGTGAATATCTATCTGAACTACATTTTCAAATAAGGAAAACGTTAATGCTCAAGGACTATTGTGCTTAGATGGATTGAAAAAAATGCATATTAAATACATTTTTTCCAGTTGTTTTAAGAGTAACAAATGCAATGAATTAAAAAAAAAAGACATTTTAGTAATTGTATTGCTTTAAAGTAATAAACTTACTACCATGGCCATATTTGCACAATTATATTTGTAATAAAACAATAGAATTAGGCTTATAATATTTCTAAATACTACACATTACATTAGTTATTTGGTCCCTTAGGGTTTTTCCAAAAAAAGTCTATAATATTTCAACTACATTATGTTTGCCATATTTACTGGACATCACATATTGCTCAATACCAGAGTTCATCAGGCCTGGCTGGGATAAAACAACCACAGTAGTGTTTGAAAGATTATTTATACAAGCCATTTGTTAGAATAACAGTTGTTAAGGAGTGATCTCCTTTTTTTAAGATGTTAAAGTATGATTACAATAAATTATATTTCTCCTAACACAATAGTATTACGTTTATTAAATTTATAAAAACTATATTCTTTATTTGGTTCCTTAGGGATTTTCCCCCAAAAAAGTGGTTGAAATTCTATTATACTCTCTTCTTCTTAGAAAAACCTTAAGGGATCAAATAAAGAATGTAGTGTTTAAAAATGCAATCAGAATAATATTATTCTCTTACAACAAACAGAATTTCACAAAGTTTAATTGTTTTCCCACCTTGTTTGACTAGATATTGTTACAAGCTGTTAAAATTGTAGAAATAATTCTTAGTATAACTTTTTTGTGCACATAAGTTACGAAAAATATGGAGAGAGAGAAAAATTATTTCAGTTTCTGTTAATATAGTGTTATGTTTGTTATTTGTTTGTGTATAAATGCAAAGCCACACAATGGACTATCTGCAATGTGTCAACCACAGGTAGCAAAACCAAATACTTAGCACATAAGCCCTCAAGCTTACTGCTGAGCCACTTGGGGCTCTTCTATTATTATTATGACTTCATTGTTATAATGGTTAGGTTCTTTAAAGAGCCAGAATTTCTATTAATTTTTAAACTAATATATTATTATTGCTACAAATGGATTCTGGTTAGTTCTCACATTGCTATGGCCATATGAGAATAATTTACAGTTTCATAAATTATTATTGACTTTACAGTTTCTTTCACATAAATACACACAAGTTTACATGAGTATGTTATGACTGCAATTTAATTGAATCTTAATCTGTGTTTCATTGAAGCTAATAGGGTAAAATAATGCAAATAACAGCTTTTATTGTACAACTTCAACTATAATGTATAAAAGCTGATAAATGCTACAACCACTACAGGTATGAATTGTTACAAAAGCTAAGTAGATATGCTCAAATAGCACCACATCACTTACTGACATAATCATCATTTTGGAAGTGAACAATACTTACGAATCAGGTGTGGAGACATTCTGTGTACATAATTCTACTTCTGCAAGCCTGGAAATACAGGAAATGGAACTGTATGATGAACAAAATATAAATTACAAAAATATTAAAACTTATACCAAAAAATATTTACTATTTTAATTGTTACTTACACAGATAGTGCAGCTGGAAGAAAAGTGTAAATATAAAATGAAACATTTAAAATTAATTTGTAATTCTCAATACAAGCCAGTGTTTGAATTCTCTATAAAAATATTAATTGTTTATGTGTGTGTGAGTGTGTGCATATATATATATATGTACACTGAGTGGTCACAAGTAAACAGACACCTAATTTTTCGTCATTTAACTGATTTATGCTAACTAATTTGTGTTCACAGAGCATTATATAAATGAAAATGGTCCGCACACTAATTATCTTGTGCTACAACATGCCTAGAACTCAAGGTTCTCTCTGCACGATGATTCTGTTGACTGTCGAAAGCGGGATTCCCAAATTCTGCGAAATTTGCCACTGACTTATTCCACCATCTGCTTGACCAACTATCCTTCCTCTAACAAAATCTGACAATTGTTTCTTGACTTGCCGGTTGAGTATGGCCCAGAGGTTTTCGATGGGGTTCATGTCAGGAAATTGGCTCAGCCAGGGCAACTTCTGGATACCACTTTCTTCCTGCCACTTTTGAGTGTTTCTAGCAGTGTGACACGGTGCTCCATCTTCCTGGAACAACGTTGTGTTCTGTCCACGAAACCCGAAGAATAAAGTGTCAAGAGTCCTTCCTCCAATATTTCGACGTATTTCGCAACATTTATGTTGCCAACGCACTCCAGTAAGCTCGATCTCCCACCAACCCAAACAACTCCCCAAACTACCATGCTTCACAGTTGGCTGCAATCCGTTGAGCCAAAACTCTTGGTGAGGCATTTTCCAGACCCATATCCTTCCACTGTCGAAGATTTAGCGAATCTTGATTCGTCTGAGAACAATACGGTCTTCCAAAAGTCCAGAGGCTTGGTCATCATATCACTAGCCCACTTCTTTCGTCTGACTATGTTGGCAGGTCTTAATAAGGGCTTCCGTCTAGCTGCTCTGCAACGATAACCAAATCAGTGAAGAATCCGTTGAACAGATTTCGGGGTCATCCCACCAACTTTGGCCACTTCTGCAGTCGTTAATCTGGGATCCATTTCGATGCTCCTCTTGACAGCCCTTTTTGTCCTCTTTGATGGACCAGGATGATCCGGACGCTGTTCAGTTGTTTCCTTGCCGTGTTTCCTGAACAACCAAAAAAACCAACTTTGAAGAGCAATCTACTCCAAGTTTTGAAGCAAAAGTAGGCAAAAATCCCACAATCTAAAATTGATGAGATGATTCTCATGATGCCCCAAAGGATCAATGAACTCCACGAAGCGAAAGGAAGATCTACTAGATATTAATTAAATTATAAATATACCAATTCATGTGAATATGACTGAAAAGTTTCATTTTTTCTGAAAAAGTGGTGTCTATTTACTTGTGACCACACTGTGTTTGTTGGCTGTGCTTATGACAACAAATATTTCACTAAAGTAACTAAGTAATCAACAATTAACTGCCTTAAGATTACTAGACCCACGTCAAAATACATCTTGTTCCTAGCACTAGAAATAAATAAAGTCTTCTGTGTTCGTACAATTATCCAATGGAGACTTAGATAGTCAGTACCAGTATGTATATAGAACAGATTACTGTCTGGTGTCTTGACCTCACAAGTTGTTACAAGGAACTGGCTGACCCATTTTTGATAAATCTTAGTAGATGAACTCAGATTGACCCCTTTAATATTGATATCAAAAGGATAAGAAATTTCAGAGTTGGTTCAAGTTTCGCAG